TGACATGAGTATGGTCGACCAGGTGTTTAACGTTTGGCAGAAATAATCGTGAGAAGATGACCTTGGGAATTTCTAAAGAGCTGTAACTAGGACACTATTGGGCCGATTTTTTCATGGGATCCATATGAACTTGACATATACCTGACCTTATTGTGACATGAGTATGGTCGATCAGGTGTTTACGGTTTGGCAGAAAATATCGTGAGAATATATGACCTTGAGAATATTTCTAGACCCGTATCTAGGAAACTATTTGACCGATTTTGTCGTGGCATCCATATGGCCTTGATCAATACCTGAACTCAGATTGACACGAGTATGGTCGACCAGGTGTTTAACGTTTGGCAGAAATAATCGTGAGAAGGTATGACCTTGGGAATTTCTCAATACCTGTATCTAGGAAACTATTGGGCCGATTTTGTCGTAGACTGCATATGACTTTGACCTATACGAGACCTCATTCTGACATGAGCATGGTCGATCAGGAATTGACGGTTTGGCAGAAATAATCGTGAGAAAATATGACCTTGGGAATTTCTCAAGACCTGTTACTAGGAAACTATTGGACTGATTTTGTTGTAGATTTCCTATAACCTTGACCTCTACGTGACCACATTCTGACATGAGTATGGTCGACCAGGTGTTTAACGTTTGGCAGAAATAATCGTGAGAAGATGACCTTGGGAATTTCTCAAGACCTGTATCTAGGAAACTGTTGGACCGATTCTGTCGTAGATTCCATATGAACTTGACCTATACGTGACCTCATTCTGACATGAGTATGGTCGACCAGGTGTTTAACGTTTGGCAGAAATAATCGTGAGAAGATGACCTTGGGAATTTCTCAAGACCTGTATCTAGGAAACTGTTGGACCGATTCTGTCGTAGATTCCATATGAACTTGACCTATACGTGACCTCATTCTGACATGAGTATGGTCGACCAGGTGTTTAACGTTTGGCAGAAATAATCGTGAGAAGATGACCTTGGGAATTTCTCAAGACCTGTATCTAGGAAACTGTTGGACCGATTCTGTCGTAGATTCCATATGAACTTGACCTATACGTGACCTCATTCTGACATGAGTATGGTCGACCAGGTGTTTAACGTTTGGCAGAAATAATCGTGAGAAGATGACCTTGGGAATTTCTCAAGACCTGTATCTAGGAAACTGTTGGACCGATTCTGTCGTAGATTCCATATGAACTTGACCTATACGTGACCTCATTCTGACATGAGTATGGTCGACCAGGTGTTTAACGTTTGGCAGAAATAATCGTGAGAAGATGACCTTGGGAATTTCTCAAGACCTGTATCTAGGAAACTGTTGGACCGATTCTGTCGTAGATTCCATATGAACTTGACCTATACGTGACCTCATTCTGACATGAGTATGGTCGACCAGGTGTTTAACGTTTGGCAGAAATAATCGTGAGAAGATGACCTTGGGAATTTCTCAAGACCTGTATCTAGGAAACTGTTGGACCGATTCTGTCGTAGATTCCATATGAACTTGACCTATACGTGACCTCATTCTGACATGAGTATGGTCGACCAGGTGTTTAACGTTTGGCAGAAATAATCGTGAGAAGATGACCTTGGGAATTTCTCAAGACCTGTATCTAGGAAACTATTGGGCCGATTTTGTCGTAGACTGCATATGACTTTGACCTATACGAGACCTCATTCTGACATGAGCATGGTCGATCAGGAATTGACGGTTTGGCAGAAATAATAGTGAGAAAATATGACCTTGAAAATTCCCCAAGACCTGTATCTAGGAAACTATTGGACTGATTTTGTTGTAGATTTCCTATAACCTTGACCTCTACGTGACCACATTCTGACATGAGTATGGTCGACCAGGTGTTTAACGTTTGGCAGAAATAATCGTGAGAAGATATGAGCTTGAGAATATTTCAAGACACGTATCTAGGAAACTATTCGGCCAATTTTGTGGTGGCATTCATATGGCCTTGATCAATACCTGAACTCAGTGTGACATGAGTATGGTCGACCAGGTGTTTAACGTTTGGCAGAAATAAGCGTGAGAAAATATAACCTAGACAATTCCCCAAGACCTGTAATTAGGAAACGATTGGACCGATTTTGTTGTAGATTCCATACAACCTTGACCTATACGTGACCTCATTCTGACATGGGAATGGTCGACCAGGTATTTATCATTTGGCAGTAATAATGGTGAGAAGATATGACCTTGAGAATTTCGCAAGACCTGTATCTAGGAAACTGTTGGACAGTTGCTGTCGTAGATTCCATATGACCTTGACATACACGTGACCTCATTCTGATATGAGTATGGTGGACCAGTTGTTTAACGTTTGGAAGAAATAATTGTGAGAAAATATGACCTTGAGAATTTTGAAGACCTGTAACTAGGACACTATTGGGCCGATTTTGTCATGGGATGCATATGACGTTGACCTATACTTAACCTCATTGTGACATGAGTATGGTCGATCAGGTATTTACGGTTTGGCAGAAATTATCGTGAGAAGATATGA